TTGTACATGTATGGATAGAGCGTAAAAAGCTCTATCAGCCGACAACTGTCAACGGTAAGCTCACTGGATTACATTGATGAGAGAATAAATTGTACTTGATGAGTGAATAAATAACATGTCCTTCTTAGGGACAAGCGTGAGGTGAGGCACGCCACACCTGGGGGGTCGTAGAGGGGTCAAGAAGAAGGGGGGTTGTTACCGAGGTGATAGTGATGCTAGCGACATTATGTCATTCAACAATGTCTGAGAGGCCCCTTGTACAAGATATCAGCACTGATGTTTTGTTCTACCGTCGTACAGGCACAGTAAGCATATTAAAAGATCCTAAAAGCATAAGAGCACCATTCTCGTAATTAGCGTGTCAAATGGCCCTGAGGGCCAAGTTTCGGTGAATTTTGAGGTTTTCAAATACACTAGGACACTCAAGTAGGGTGGTCATTTTCGACATGCTAACTTCGTTTCGAAGGTGAGTAAACTACAACTTTTTGCACATATTACAAGGTACTACTACTTCTTTTCTCGTTTCAGGAATTCCACACCAACTAACCCCCAAACTCTGGAATCAAGAGCAAGCGAAAATCTTGTTTGTCCCATTTTTCGCTTTGGCTTTTCTCATAAAAAACCACTCAGGCTCAGATCTTTGTGAAAGGTACAAGGGTCAGGCTATCGAATATATTGTTCTTGCCGCCTTCCCTCGCAATACACGTAGTAGCGCAGACTCAGCATATTACCGTAATCCAATATTTTCGCAGTGTTTTCCATCTGCTTAGCTATGGAAAAAAGACTGCACCTTTTCCTAGGAGAAACAATTCTGAATGAAATTGCTGCTATGTGGAGAAGAAGGTTTAGCAGTAGCAACTATGTATAAAAGACAGAGATTTGAATGCTTTGAAGCAAGTTAATGGGGTGTGGCACAACCCCTAAAAAGCTGTGGCCGCCACAACTTTTTAGGGATTGTGCCAGACCCCATTAACTTGCCTCCAAAAAAAATTTTAGCGAACAAAATACATAGACAGGGTATCCCAAAAGTGTGTATACGCTGTTTAATCATTAATATCTTTCTTCCCAAAGTCTTTTGCCTTGCATCAGGTACCGTTTTGTAGAGCTGGCTTCAACTTAATTTGCAATATGGAACGATCGCCCATCTCTCTTCATTACTGTAGACTTCAAAGAGGGTTTTGAGTATGAAAGGCCATATTTTGCCGCAAAAAAAACAAAACAGCCTGAAAGTTTTTACATTAGGCTAATTAAACTTGTTGATTCTAACTGTAAAGTTCCCAACTTGTTATGATGCTTCATCGAAGAGGTATGCCGGGTAAGAGGAAGCGGCCATTTTTCAATGTTCCTTAAAAGTGCGGTTACACCGTGGAAAAAGCTTCGCAATCTGGTGAATAGTTGAGTTATTGAACTCAGCGTCCATAAACACCCTATCACACAAGTTTTCACATTTTCTTCAGAAATTTTGAAAAGGCAGCTTTTTCCACATTGACACCATACGTTTAAAGTTTCTACCGTAATCCTACAGTATCGAAAAGCGATCGGTGTTCTCTTCATACTGTAAACTCTAAATTAAAGCCAGCTCTACAAAACGGTATGAAGCAAGGCAAAAAACTTCTTGGGAAAAGAAATATTAACGATTAAATAGTGTATCCATACTTTTGGGACATCCTGTAGTTTGATAGACTGAGTGAGTATTGTAGTTTTCATAGGAGCAATTTGGACCCGATTCATCTTCTTCGCTGCAAGTAAAAGCTGATCAAAGCGCAGCCACTGAAAACGAAAAATGAGACAAACGAAATTTTGGCCTGGTTTTAAAGACAGTGTCCGGGCAAAAAGTCGTTTTTGAGATTTTGTGCTCATCCGGGCCTATTCACTATGCTGAATCCGGAAATCCACGCTGGAGAGCGCGCAAACGACGAAAAAGGGCTCTAATGCAGCAAGGAAATCGGAAGTGGGCGGGGTCTTCCCCACTGCGAATTTACGGTCCCGGCTTCCGGAGCAATCTTTTCAATTCCGCAAGCTGCCCTGACATCTCCACAAGCCAAGTGCGAATGCGTGACCTAAAATTGAAACCGAGAAGATCACCTGGGAGCTGGGAGCGCAAATTCGCAGTGGGGAGGACCCCGCCCACTTCTGATTACCCTTCTGCATAAGAGCCCTTTTTCGCCGCTTTCACGCTTTCCAGTGTGGATTTTCCGATTCAGCATAGCGAATAGGCCCGGGTGAGCACAAAATCTCAAAACCCTTTTTGGCCGACACTGCCTTTAAGTCCATGAATTGATTTTGAAGCAGGATTCATGGTATGGGAAAATAGAAGTAGTGCTTTGTATTGAGTACAAGAAGAGTTATTAATTCACTTTTGAAATATAGTTAATTATGTTCGAGAATTTTCACTTCACTAGGGTGGTCCAATATTGTGAATAGTCAGAATTTTTTAAAACCTTGGCCCATGGTGGTTATTTGACATGATAATTACGAATATGTGCCTAACTATGCATGGTAGAGTCTTGATGTCATGCCTACGGAGGCGAAGATGAGGGGGAGTATTGAGAAAGAAGATAGGTAGAGGGAGGGAAGGGGGTCGTATCCAGCGCTTTTGTGCCACACCTCTTGCTCGACCCTAGTCCTTCTAGTGGCGTACCCAGGTTTCGTTCGGAGGGACATCCTCGTATGCTTTACAAATTTTTCGCGGTTTTCTAACCCCGAAAAAACTTTTTTTTGTAAGGCTGATTTATATTTTCAAGAAGTTTCAGAATTATTTTGATTATTTTACAAGTGCAAACAAGTGACTTGCTCATTTTTATAACTCATGTAAGTAACTTCTACAATTCCGAGACTAATACACGATAGCATGGTGGTCCCTTCGCTTTAGAAGATATAGCATTGATACTAGAAGGCATCAATGGCAGGGGGGGGGGAACTTCATATGCCACTGACAAGCGACTGTGAGAAATAAACATAGTCTTTTTTGCGCTGCATTGCTATCGCCAAGATGAAATTCTATATCATCTGAATATTTGAAGTTCAGAAACGTTTAATCAACTTTTTCTTATCGGTAGTCTTGCTTATCAAATAAGTTTCTAATGTTAGAATATGCAAAATTATTAAGGAATAATGACAAGAAGTAACGCCTAAATCTCAAAGATCTCCCAGAAAATAGTCCTTAGCTGACAGACATCAGACTTATTTGACAGGGTTTTACAATTATGATGGAAAAAAACATAAATCGAAAAAGCGAGTATATCTGCGAAATTTTAGGGTACCTTATTTTCCAAGAATTTTTCTAAGCTGCGTACTTTATGTTCAAATAAATGGATTCCGAACTTGTCAGGACTGACCGCCACGTTTGAAGAAGGAATTGGACGTTTCAAATTCTTAGACTCTTGTTCTTGAAGATCTGCGGTGACATAAACATAGCGTTCTATATAACCACCGCTTTTTTGACCGTATCTAAGAAAGCAAATCGACAGAAGCTTTCTAGCACCTTCGGCGCAAAGCTCAAAAAATCGATCGAAGCATGCGAGAGTGCGTCTCTGCCCTGCAATGGGCTCGCAGTTTTCTCGCGGCTAACCGGCGGGAGCAAGAGCTCGTTTACTGCTGATTGTGGAGGCCATCCAAAACTCAATAATTTAAGATTTTCGTTCAATAGGCCTGGATTCGGGTTCAACAGGAGCAAGAAGTGCTAAAAAAGACAAAAACTCGAAATCGAGTATTTGAGTGGACGGTATCTTTAAATCAAAGAAGAGAATTAGGCTCTCATTTCTGTCAAAACTAAGAAATCTGAGCTATCAATCACGTAGATACCGTTCGTTAAAAATGTTTTGTGACAGCCACACTTTTTAGAGTTGTGCCACACCCCGTTAACTTACCTCTGAAGAAATCTCTAGCAAATGATATTTGCACAGTTCAGTAGTCTAAATCCCGTATTTTTACGGGAGTGATCTGAGCCTGATTGTCTTCTTTGTTCTGAATAATAGTTGGAAAGCATGGCGTTAAGAGCAAAGACAGCAAAAGAGATTTTGGTTTGCTTTCCACATTTCGGAGGTCCTTTGGGTCCACGAGGCCATTTGTTATGCTAATTATGTACATATTACTCGCTATGCTCGAAAGGGCCTGTACAATATTTCAGACAGCAATCGTGGAAGCGCGGGGGGGGGGGGGAGGATCTTAAATCGCAATCGCGTATCACACCTTTTGCTTGACCCTACTGATACTATCATCGCCGATCGCAAATTTTGTGTTTTGATGAGGCTTGATTTCTAGGCGTTTCGGCCCCTTTCTTTTCACAACTCATACTGCTTGCTCCTTCGTTCTTGTACCGTTCCGTACCTGATGAAGGAACTCCGAACTTAGAAATGTACACGGATGAAAGCGGTATATCTTTGTAACCGCCTCCAGTCTTGGTGTACATAAGGCAATAGCGCTCGTTCTTGCATCCCTCTTCAAACTGGGAACTTTCCATGGCGAGAGCAAGCGAGGTGCGGAAATGAGGCGAAAATGAGCAAATTATAATATGAAAACCGTTGCAGAAATCAAAAATTGCTTTTTCGTGCCGCCCATAACCGCACGCGTGTGGTGCTGCAGCGCATCAGCACAGTTCCGGAACAGTTCCAGCAGAGTGCGAGAACTGTGCTAGAGCTGTTGCGGAATTTGCAGATCAGTATGAACCCTGCCTTAGTTGGGTTCTTCTGATGGGTTCTTGCAGTCTTGCAACAAACGTTCATAGCAACGTGTTGTGAGCTTCTAGAGTTACAGTTACCCTATATTGGCACATGTACACAATTCGGCTAATTACTTGGGAAGTCTAAATACAATCCGTCAGATCAAACAGGTAGTTTTGTACGCGGCAGTTGGTTGACGGTTCCTCTGGAACAATTTCTAATCATATTGAATATAAAATAAAAGACAAGATTTTTTAACGTTAATAACGACTAATGAAAAAGTACCGAAAAATAAGGAAATCAAAGGTATATTATTAACTATAGGTAAGATCGTCTTACTTGGAAGGAAAAGTTGCTTTTCTCTATCTTCAGCTGTTGCTTCCCGCTTAGTCCTTGCTTGATTCCTCGCCGGACGCCGGCATGTGGTAGTTACAAATCTAGGCGTTGTGGTCACAACACATTTGGGTGTTGTTGTGATCGTGGTGAATTTCTTCGTCTTAGTGGATGTTTGCATAGTGGTCGTGGTTGGAATTGAGGTTTGCGTAGTGGTTGTGGTTAAAATCGAGGTTTGCGTAGCGGTCGTGGTTAAAAACGATGTTTGCATAATGGTCGTGGTTGGAATCGAGGTTTGCATACTGGTCGTGGTTGCCATTGATGTAGAAGCTGCTGTAGTGATCGCTGTTGTAGTTGTTACCGTCGATTCCGCTACTGTATAAATGACATCTCCCGCCTTAAACTCCCTAAAAGTTTACCTTAATAAGCAGGACTCAGTACAGGTGGGTCATGCTGGGAGTAAAAAGCAAAAGGGATATCGTTGCTGGGTTTTGGATTACGCTTTGAGAAAATGCATGAGCCAGCTTGGTATGGTGTACGTGAAAAGCTGCCATTTGCTTCGAGCAAAAGCGAAGATTCGGAGCCGGTTTTCTTTTGGAAAACTTGATTACGCAAGGCAATTACTGGGTTTCCATATAGAATCGATCGAGTAGAAAAGCTTCGACGAGTTCGCCATCTCTCTCGAAGCCCTTTAGCCCAAGAAATTTTTGCAACCCCGTTCCTGACAACTAAAAATTATCCGATCGCTAATGTCAATTAAGTCATGTCAAGTCAATGCGCCCAACTTTCATCCAACTTTTACAATTACCCACACCCTCTTTTATACCATTTGTTCATCTTCTGGAAGCATCGCAAGTTCTCTACGACTCCATTTCTGCAGAACCAACAATTTTCCGCCCCACGTGCCCTGCAAGGGCGGAAATTTGAAAATGTGTCCCAAAACAAAGGGCTTGTTTAAAGCGAAAAGAGAATAATATGTCTTTATCCACACAGTTCCAACCTCCTTATTGCGCATTTAAATACCAAATAGGGTGTTTAAATCCACAGTGAAACCTGGAATTATGTAGAAAAATCATGAAAAGGTTGGGAATTGAAGGTGTGACGGTTGAGTTAGAGAGAGTCTGAGGTGGCTCACAAAAAACAGACTCGTAGATTCTCCTCTTTCCAAACAATTTTTCACAATTTTCGCATAACTTTAATATACAACCAAAACTCTACAGATCAGTTATTGACCAAACGCTCCTTTTCGCATAGTGCTAGCCCTCCAAAAATTTTGAAGTGGCAGTCCTGCTCGTGAGCGCGCGGTGATACTTGCGAGACGCAGTATGCCGCCAATTCGAAAAAGACGAATATTAGTTGCTTTTATGATTGAGCCGACACCAAGATTATCATAGCATTTATTCGGCTAACTTTTCGGCCTAGTCGCCTTCGTCAGAGCCTATAAAGTGAGGAACATTAGGAATTAACCTCCCAAACATCTTATCACATGCAGGAAAAAGTCCAAGAAGTTGGATAGACTCCCGTTAAGGCCTAAAACTATCAGCTCACCTTTTTTGTCAGAATAAGGTAGAACCACCGCTGACTGATATGCGCTAACAATGAGTGAGGCGAGTCTCTGGAGGCTACGCATAGATCAAAACTTGCATAACTCCATTAATGGCGCGAGCTCAGTTGTTACGGCGGCGCATTCTTCTTTTCTGTTCATTTTGGGATTCCGGGATAGAATCCAGCACGCCGCGAGCGTCTTTCGCGCTGACACCTCGGTTTCCCATGACAGAATGTTGACCGAAACATCGAATTCTGTGTCCTGGTAGCATAGCTTGCGATGCGTGCCCAAGGGAGTTGATAGCCTTGATCTTTGCAACCCGTCTATGTGTTCCCTGATCCTAACACATAAAGGCCTTCCCGTCTCTCCCAAATATTCCTCCCCACATAGCTTACAAGTAAATAAACCGTACCAGAGCGCATGCAATCCCCATCACTATTTGTTGCGCAAATTACGCAGTCAGGAACGCTACATGCTTGGTCATTTGCCCTGTTGCGCACTAGACGTTGCTTAAGATTAGCAGGAGGAACCTCAACGACTCTGAGTGAGTCTTGCAATCCCGATTTTCGTACGCAGGCTCTGATAACTTTACTGAAGACGAATATTGTTAGTTTTTATCTAATTATCTCAGCCTAAGGTTTTTTGTCTGTTCTGATCTAATTTGTTATACTTGTTTCACTTATTCATGTGCGTGTCATGGAGAATGTCGTATTTTTGTTACGAATTAACGGAATCTTTTTTTTCCAAAAATTGCTAAAGCCACCTAGTGCCGAGCCGTGTCTATAAGCAAGCTGTGCAATCCACACATCACTATTCTATGCATATCGTTTTCTTGTCAAAATGGCTTTACACAAAAAAATACAAAAACATGAATGCAAAAGAAGGAAAATCGGTAAGTGTACGTTTCTCGAGGGTGATATCCATTGCCAACTGTAATCTTCGATAGTGAATCATTAAAGCATTTTTAGATAATAGATTGTTCAAAAAGCTTTGCCAATTCTTCTTATAACACAACAAGTGAAACGCAAAGCGAAAGAGCTTTCCGAGGTGTGCTCTTGGCGCTCGCTGCCTGTGAAATGCGCTATTTGGTTTTGAAAAATAACTTTTAACCAGAGACTACCTAAAAAACAGTTTCCGTTAGGCTGAAAGAATGCGATAAGGCACATTTTTCAAATCGGAGACTCGCAGAATTTGCAGAAATCAAAAAGCTTGCTATACCCCTCATATTTGTCACATGAAACGACATCCGCTTTTGTTAGTTGCGCCGAGTTTTTTTTACAAACAAGAAGTAGCTCATTGATTTTAACAACAAAGAATCGTGGGCTCTACATGCTTCGAAGCTCAACCGGCGTGCTTCTTGGAGAAGCGCATCCATGATATGCTTAGACCAAGTGCAATTTTGTTGGTTCCAATATCGATCACTTGACAGCCGCTTATAATGAAAATAAAGATAAACAAATTAGCTCAACTTTATCGGCAGAGCTTTTCAACAGCCTAACACAATTACCCCACGGATTTCTCCACTAGCACTGTCCTAGTCATTCGTCGGGGCTTTGTTTTTGTCTGTTAAACGTACTTTATCTCAACCATGTATTGTACTGATAATAGCATGATCACCAACTTTGTACACCAACATGCAACGCCCAAGAATCAAGTTCAAAAAATGTTCTAGCTAACATGCCTTGTAAAGCCGCTTGATCTGTAACTGTGCGGAGCCCGTCACGAAAAGACAATGAGGAATGATTTGCTATACTTCAAAGCATGAGGGAGTCGCACAACAAGCGAGGTTCATTTTTGTACGGCAATATTTCGTTCACTCAACTTGAACAATGATCGAAAACATAGTATTACTACTAAGTTTTTGTGACCGATTCATATAGACCAGTGCGAGCCCTGCGAGGCAGAGGTGACGCACGTTATATAATTACGCTTTCTTGGCTTGAGGATGAGGTAGAATCCCATCATAAGTCTTCAGTCTCATCTACTCGATAGTTTTGCTGAAGTCACAGAGCGGAAACTCAGTGCTAAAATGCGTATTACCCACGGCCTCCTTCGAACTGCAGCATGCTTTTCCATGCCAATACGTTGACGACGAGCCATTATATGATGTCGGGTCCCGTAGACGAACTGTTCCCAGCATTGTTACGCCTGATGGTATGTATGTATGTATGCATGCATCTGCGCGAGATACAAGAGACAAGTGGAAGGAGCAGCCTGTTCACTCTTGGCAAGGTCCGCCCACTTAACAGAAAATGATGGAAATTGCTCGGAATCTAAAAGATCGTACAACTAATGACACTGAAAAGTGGGCAGCGCCCGCTGAGGGCTTGGAACCTGCATAACAAGGGCGGGGTTGAGTTGAAGGTTATTTGAGAATTCCCAGTTATGAACTCTTCTATGGCTGTTAGGATTTGTAAGAATTTCTTATAAAAGACAACGGAGTGGGCGAAGTCTACTAAAAGAGGGGCGGGATTAACATGAAATACTTGAAATACTCCTGGGCCTAAATTGATTATATGAAAACAAATTTGAACATGGTCACATTAGAATCGATATTTAGGGTGCGCACCATTGCGAGGAGTTGCCTACAGGGACAGACTGCCTGCCGGTGCACTGTTGTGCGGAGCTGTCATCGTGTTTATGATGATCTGGAGCTTTCAAAAAAAAAGATTTCATTTGAAAACATCATATTTAGATGAATTTGCGTGGAAGTTCAAGGCAGAAGGCGGATTCGGCATAGATCTCCGAAATCATGAATTTCGTCGATAAACTCTTGAATCGCTGTGATGTAACAACCTACGTATCGTCTTTAAGTTTTAAGTGAATTACGACATAAGAGAACACTGTCGTTCAAAAATTTACCAATGCGTCACCTCTGCTTCGCAGGCTTGCACTGGTCCTACTCCATATACCTTACTCATTCTCGTCTAATAATGGCATGACCCATTACGCAACTAACCCTTTAAGCGTCGTCTTCGTAAAGTGACTTTTGATCAATTTTTTGGACTTAAGTCTACGTGCACAATAACATACCAAAACATCCATGTCTCTGCAAAAAGTGGTGATACGGACCCAATTGTAAGGGAAATAAGCCAATTGGATCCGTCGCGTGATCCACCCAACAAATCCGCTATTGCTTTGCTTTTGCTCGAAAGCTGAGTATGTCGCCAACGACAAGGGAAACAGGTGATTATGCTACGATCTGCCTGCTACAATATTCCTCTCCTTGCAAACTTATTTCAGCACAGACCACTGTGCGAGCAAGTGATTCAGACGCCAGCTGCGCCAGATGGTTTTAAAATGCGTTCAGAGGAGGATCTAACTCGCGAGTTGGATTCAGATGGTCGCTTGGCCGGCTAGGTGCCGATAATTTTATTTCTTCGTTTATCTATCATTTTATCTCGCTGAGTCATATACGAATAGTAGCTACTCTGGTATTATGCTGAGCCTTTTCATGTAGTTTCTAATCGTATTAGCCAAAAAGACGAGTATTACTTTTGCAATAACACTCACTTGTTATGTAGTTTCTAGTTACATATTCATGTTAATTTGTTGCGTTTATTTTGTTGTTTTACAATTAAACGGTTTAATTACCCATGTTTGAGTTGAGGTAAGCATCAACACAAGTTAGTCCGCGTCGCATCCAGTATTACCAAGTCGCTTTGGTATTAGATGATTATCGTTCTACATATATCTCGTAACCTCAACTAAAATTGGTGCATCGCCGACTTTGGTGTTTTCTATTGCTGTATCAATACTAATCGCTTCAATTGGTGCATCGGAAGTGCGGACCGAGCGATCAAGACAAGTGGTCGGTTACACAAGTTTAGTAACAATTTCTTGCAGCAAGTTGAACTGTTTACTTTTCGCAATCGCAGTCTTCAACTCACATTCCGCCAGACAAGTCCACATTCAACATTTATATTGCATTTTGACTCATTGTCACGCTCTACTGCGCAAAACAAGTTAATTTGCATCCATTGCTCCATTACAAGTCGAATCTACGATTGATCAGCGTTTTGGAATATCAGCTTGCACTGCTAATTTCCGATCAATCGCACAAACAAGTCAACGTTTACGTGCACTACTCACAATAGCACGCCGCATCTTTGTTTCCAGCAGTCATCATGTCAGCGCAATTATCGACTTACAAGCGCTTCCTACCGCGACGAAGCTTGAAACTGTTCTCACGCGCTTTAAAAATGAGGGACTAAAGATAATAAAATTTCCTGATGAAGAGACAATACCACTCAGTATAGATGAAAACCAGATGCTGTTAGAAGAAGGAAAAGGGCAATTGAGACTTGCAACACAAAATTACAAAAAACTTTGCAAGATCATGCGATAGCCCTAGACAGAGCTAAAAGCCTGTGCCTTACATCTATCTACGGTATACCTACCGTAACCTTACATCACAGTATCCCAAGCTTGGACTTCTCTGGCTAGAGCTTCATCTGGGTGCCTCCAATCATGTGCCGGAACCCCGTATAATTTCCGGTGAGTCGTACTGTCGTGAATGTGTCAAGGACAGCGTCGGGCAAAAACTCGGCTTTTAGAACACTTACTTGGAGTTTTCCGCAACGCTAAATCCGAAGATCCACAACAGAAAGCGCGAAAACGGCAGAAACGGCAAAAACACGCGTTTTCGAAGCTTTACAAAATGAATAGGGCGATTATCGCCATTGAGGCTGGGACGCAGATTCGCTGCGTGGCCCTACCACAACTGTGGCGGCATACTACTCTGTCGCGGAGCGGGAATTCAAACAGGTGTGAGAGCCTTGCCTCAGGACTTCAGTTTCCCGGCTTTCCGACCAAATTCTTTGCTTGTGGTTAATGTCATGGGTTTGCACTTGCGCGATGGTATGTTCGAGGGGGCCCAATTCCACATGGCACTAAAATAACAAAACTCCCACCTTTTCCGGACACTTCCTTTGAGTCAGAGTTCTCTCTTACGTTACTAAAATAGTATCAATTTTAAATTGGTAGTGTCCAGATGCAGAAACTCGACCTTACTGCCACTTATTAAAACCACTGCCGCACCTTATTGGCGACTGCTGCGGCTACTGCGTTCAACGCGGTCAGTGAGGCAGCGTGAAACAGCCTAGCGCGCGCCGATGGATAAAAGTGCGTTATTCAATGTTCGCTGCATGCCGTGTCCACGTTTTTAACTATGCAGTTCGATGGAGTGTCAATCACAAACTTTTTCTGAGTTTACAAGTTTATTTCATCTCGAGGAATTAGCAGCTGCATTGAAAAAAAGACCAATTTCTTGTCTCTTCAACTGTTGTTTGGGTTACAACCACTGCCAAATGAGCCCTTACAATGACTCGTTCATTCACTAGTCTTGAGGCTGGTATTTATGGGGGAAGAGGGCGCCGAAAAACATTTTTAAATGAAGGTGCGTGGCACTTCCCAGAATCGAGACGTGGCGGCAGCCACTTCCCACAAAAGTCTTTTTTGCAAAGCTAATTCTGAATTTTTGAAAAATTCTAGAAATTATTTTAATTATTTACATAATTAAACAAGTCAGGCATTTTCATAACCCATGTAAGTAAATTTCAAAAATTTCGAGACCCATCCTTAAGGGACGGGGGGGGGGGAGGGAGGGGTGCTCGGTCCGCCATTGTTTACTTATGCTTCCGATAATCCCAGATGAAGGAAGCGATATAGCCATATAGCCGAAACGTGAGAATTGCTTATTTCGGTGCACAGATGAACAATTCACAACAGCGCAGTAAATTTTTGAAAGCCACTTTAGGTCTGAATAGTCTCAGAATTTTTTTTTGAATGATAAGTATGTCGCCGAGCTCATGTGTTTACTGCACGGAAGCAAAATTCGTACAATAGTCAATCAAAATAGTAACTTAATGTGCTTATTGCATGTTATGCGCGATTCTTGACAAACTTCAGATTACAACCTGCTCATTTCCAGTAATTTCTCCTTTTCTTTCCTACTTTGAAATGGTGGATAAGTATCTGCTAGTAGTACAAATTCTGCAGTTTCTAAGGCCAAAAAAAGTTTTACTGGAGATTTACAAGAAAGAGTGCCGTCGGCTGCCGCGCATAGTTGCAGACTTATATACATATTGAGTTACAAGTGACTCAGACATATGTAAAGTCAACTGCATGAAATCGCCCATATCGCTGACGCATAAGCCTGCCTGCAACGCGGCTGCCGAGTACGGCCGCTTTGGTGAATTATGCGCACAACGCCAATATTATCTCGCAAGAAACACGCAAGCGGGCGTTCAGCCTAGGCTTGCGTGCGGTCAACTATGGGGCTTTGATAAATCGTGACAATGAGGCCGTGACACGCACGCATTCTCGGCAACCGCATTTCCTTGGTTTTCATGTCTACAGAAATGGTTTTTCTTCTTGCATATGATAGACTCGACATTGAAAGTGAATGAGCTGAAATTTGAGGTAATGTCTTTATAAGTGTTTTCTGCTTCCGTGAGCTCAAAGACCGCAGGCAAATCCGTCGTCACGATTTATGAATGACCTATATCTATATGAATGGTATCATGACTGGTGTGCATGAATTTTCAAGGACTAATGTTACTGTATGAACTCACGGTAAGTCAGCGAGACATAGGAGAGAAAAATTTCCTAAGCATATGCAGCATACGCATCCTATGGACGTTGTCTTTTCAGACATAAGCTGAAGCACTTTAGCGTTTTATAAGCTTCCGCTGCTGTTTGTTGAAAGTACCTCCCCATAAGCCTCGATATTCCAATCACCATTGTACTGGACGCTGAACGGAGTGACAGTAAGAGGGTAACTGTCGATACTTTTGATAAAAAAAGTATAGAAAGTATCAGCAGCCTCAGTGTCATCGTCAGTTTTTGAGCAGAATTCGGGCATGATAAGTGGTGGCTCGATTGTTTCAAGTTCGCAATTCCAAGTCTAAACAAGAAGTGTTTCCATGTCAGTGACTGCATTGAGTCAGCGTAGCAGAAGCATTTAAAGTGAACTATCTAGGTTTTTCGTATACGTAAGCCAACCTAAGTTCTTAACAAGCTTTTTCAGTCGTCTTGTTTGTTCGAAAAAGGAAGCTGCTTACTTTGAAGCATGTTACACCATGTTCAACAAAGTTATACAATACCACCCCTATTTTGTGAAAAAAAATTGGCGGCGCACTTAACTCACGCGGCGCCGCCGCAGTTAGGTGGCAAGCGCCGCGTCGCACGACAAAGTTAGGCGGAAAAGCGGCACTTGCCGCTTTTCTGCCTAACTTTTCGTAAAACGTCCAACGTCTAATTTTTTTATAAAAAAAGACCTTATCTTGATTCAAAATTTATGAATTATATATATAAGAGTACCATTCAACTCAGCTCGGCGAGGCGCATCTTCCAGTATACAGATGTGCCTAGTTGTGGGATATAAGTTTTTTCCTGGAATTTTAGTGTAAATGGATCATTCAGTGTGCTGATTCCAGAGGCTACATACACATTCTGTTGAGCACTGCAGTAGGGCAGGAATAGTTTAAGAGCTCATTCTGCATGGATATGTGTGAAACTGGGTTTTCTCGGCGAAGTATGACGAGTCCCAAAATGCAGGAAGACAAAGGGAAATGGTTGGAAATCGCATGAGAAGCACATATGGCGGAATGCCGCGAGTGCTGTGCAATGTATCGTCGACTCTAAAAATCGTGACGACGGTCTGCAGTGTGGCCAGTGCGCGCCGCACGGCACTACCGCTTTATCGTAGGGCAATCTTGTTTCTCAGCAGTGTAGGCTCTCTGCGGTAGCCATGAAAGTTCCTGCAAGCAAGAAAGATGCAAAAAGAAAAAGAAAAACTACAAGAACTCCCTTCTCCAAGTAATTTGGGCGAATCACTAGGCGGCAGTGCCGTGCGGCGCGCACTGGCCGCATTGCAGACCGTCGTCACGATTTTTAGAGTCGACGATATAATACCACTTACAGAACGGGAATTTCGCGAAATTGCAGAAATTCCGCGATTCCGAAATATCGATTATGCAGCGCCATAACTTCCTTTGCAATGAATATATTCTAAATCCGAAAGCAGCACTGCGTTCAGCTCGTCAAGGCGACCTACGTCTTGTCATCTATATATTGTTTCCAGTTTTCTCAAATTTTTCTGACGAGGTCCTTTGCAAGTATGTAACGCAGCGCCTATCCAACACAATAGATTCCAGTAAGTACCATTCGATAGTGCTTTTTTTGTACATTATAGTGCGCTAAAAATCTGCCGCAGACTTCCTTCCAAAAGAGAAAAAAGCGTTGGAATTTTGAAGAAATCACTCGTTTCCAGATTCTACTCGCCGTACCTTTCTTTGAAGTAGATATTTTCTAAATTCGAAAAATGCATTGTGCTCAGCTCATCAAGGCAAATCTTTCGGAATGCAGAATGTCCTTGGTATCTCGATTTCAGTATTCTTAAAATTTTCTGCGGACGTCTCTTCGCAAAGGTGTGAAGCAGCGCATATTGCCCCAGTAGATTCAGAAAGAAACTTTCGATAGTATCTCTTCTGTAGATTATGGGGCGCTAGAAATTAACCGCACACTTCTTTCCAAAGGAGTTAGAAGAGCTGGCGAATTCTGAAAAAATCATGTCGTTCTAAATTTTTCTCAACGTAACTCTAGAGTAGGGAGCTCTCTTGCTAAGCAGATGTGGTTTTCGTAATCAGCCGGTCGGATAATCCTTAAAAGCAAGTTTTTCAAGATGTTCGAGTAATTTCATTTTTTCTCGTTTTTGGTCAAAATGTTCATGCTCTAAATTGTAAGGAAAGTTCGCTTATAGGGGTTTTCGAACACGCTCTTTACGAAAATCAAGGTTTTTGAGGATTACAGTGCCTTTTTGGTGAGATACGGTGAGGTGACTGCAACTGAATTACGAAAGTGCGTAAATTTGCCCGCACTTCTCGCGTATCTCTCAAAAACTTGCTGCTTACTTGTCCAAGTCAAAGTTAGTAGGGACTGTGCCATTGAATGGTGCATGCCTCAGTCTCCACTCTATAGAAATCGCCGAGTTACGAACCTACGAAAACACATACTCATGAATTTTGCCCAAAATGTAAAGATTGCAAATCTAGTCGAAATTCCACCGTGAGCGCTTGTATGACACTCGCATTGCGATCCAAATCTTGTTGCTAGTCGTTGCTGGTCTTTTCACGTCCTTAATGGATCTTATTGTGTTAGATTTCGTAGTTTGAGTTCTAGCCACCGAAATAGCTTTGTTATTCAACTGAGCAGCTGAAGCATACGCAAGTACCATATTCAACACAATGGGAGTCTTTGGGCGAAGCGAACACAGTATCCGCAATGCGAGTGTCATACAAGCACTCACGGTAGAATTTCGACGAAATATGCGATTTTTACATTTTGGGCAAAATTCATGAGGATGGTTTTCGTAGGCTCGTAATTTCTCGGCGATTTCTATAGAGTGGAAACTGAGGCATGCACCATTCAATGGCACAGTCCCTACTAACTTTGACTTGGACAAGTAAGCAAGCAAGTTTTTGAGAGATACGCGAGAAGTGCGGGAAAGTTACGCACTTTCGTAATTCAGTTGCAGTCACCTCACCGTATCTCACCAAAAAGGCACTGTAATCCTCAAAAACCTTGATTTTCGTAAAGAGCGTGTTCGAAAACCTCTATAAGCGAAGTTTCCTTACAATTTAGAGCATGAACATTTTGACCAAAAACGAGAAAAAATGAAATTACTCGAACATCTTGAAAAACTTGCTTTTAAGGTTTATCCGACCGGCTGATTACGAAAACCACATCTGCTTAGCAAGAGAGCTCCATACTCTAGAGTTACGGCGAGAAAAATTTAGAACGACATGATTTTTCCAGAATTCACCAGCTCTTCTAACTCCTTTGGAAAGAAGTGTGCGGTTAATTTCTAGCGCCCCATAATCTACAGAAGAAGTACTATCAGAAGTTTCTTTCTGAATCTACTGGGGCAATACGCGCTGCTTCACACCTTTGCGAAGAGACGTCCGCAGAAAGTTCTAAGAATACTGAAATCGAGATGACAAGGACATTCTGCATTCCGAAAGATTCGCCTTGACGAGCTGAACACAGTGCTGCTTTCGGATTTAGAATATATTCATTCCGAAGGAAGTTATGGCGCTGCATAATTTGCGATATTTCGGAATCGCGGAATTTCTGGAATCTCGCGAAATTCCCGTTCTGTGGGTGGTATTAAACATTGCACAGCACTCAATACATTCCGCTATATGTGCTTCTCATGCGATTTCCATCCATTTCCCTTTGTCTTCCTGCATTTTGGAATCCGTCATAGTTCGCTGAGAAAAGCCCAGTTTCACACATATTCATGCAGAATGAGCTCTTAAACTATACCTGCCCTATTTCTGCAGTGTCAACAGAATGTGTATGTAGCCTGTGGAATCAGCACACTGAATGATCCATTTACATTAAAATTCCAGAAAAAAAAACTTATATCCCACAACTAGGCACATCTGTATACTGGATGTTACTCTTATATACAGAATTCATAAATTTTATCAAGATAAGGTTTTCTTAATAAAAAAGTTAGACGTTGCGCGACAAAGTTAGGCGGCAAGTGCCGCTTTTCCGCCTAACTTTGTCGCGCGACGCGGCGCTTGCCACCTAACCGCGGCGGCGCCGCGTGAGTTAAAGGCAGTGTCCAGGCAAATCTGGACCCTTTGGTTTTTTGCGTGGAAACTGATGGGGAGCTACTGACTAAACCACTGCCCGAGTTGCAGCGCACGTGATTCACTCATGCCAGAGAAATCGGCGTCCGAATCGGTCGTCCCCGCGCCACGAAATAGCACGGAAAATGAAGATATCTCAAATGTAATCAACGAAAACACCATGAACAACGCGGAAAAGGCACCCGAGAGAAGCCGCCGCAATAAACATGGAAAACAAGGGCAATTCACGAAAAGCAGAAGAATTAGGAAATTTGCAGTATTTGTGCAACGAGTTTGCGCGCTACATCCTGTCCTCATGGTTTCGCGCCGGGACCCTGAAGTGCGTTTAGGCTGTTGAAGTGGTACGGTCACGGCGCGGGGGCGACGGGCTCGGAGGCCGATTTCTCTGCCGTGAGTGAGTCCCGTGCGCTGCAATTCGGGCAGTGGTTTAGTCAGTGGTCCCCCATCAGTTTCCATGCAAAAAACCAAAGGGTTCAGATTTGCCTGGACACTGCCTTTAAGTGCCGCCGCCAATTTTTTTCACAAATTACGGGTGGTATTGTAGCATTTCAATCTGAGGCTCCTTTTTTTGTATTTGCCACATCCCATCGTTTTTTCAAATATTGTTAACGTTGAATATTTCAGATAAAGACAATAAACTTATAGTTGAAAAGCAAAGTAACCTCTGTTTTTTTCCCTTTTCTCCCACCGGCAAATCATGCGATCAAAGTACTGTTTAGAAGTTTTCTTGTTTTGAAACCTATACGAATTTTGCATGATTTTCATTTTTGCGCAGACAAGTTTTCGTTTACAGAAAAGCACATAATGGAAAACCACGGATTATCAAGATGGCTCCTTTTTTTTACCTTTCCGGATAGCACAGCTAAGCCGCACATCAACAGCGGCCAAAATTTCAAAGGCTTTAGTTTCAAAAATGTCCCTTCTACTAAAACGAAGACTTGAAGTCTTAGTTCCGACAGAGTGGATGTAATTTTCACAAAGCGACATTCCGTCCTTTTAGCTGCCCATTCTAATTTGAAACTCGTACGATAAAACAAGTTTCGTTTGAAGCTTGTATTCCTTCTGTTTTTTTCCTCGAAAATAATTTAACGATTTTCACCCTTGAAAGAGTAACGCCTTGTTGTATCACTTAAAACTTCGCTAAATTTTGCTCTCCTGGAATGATTTGTGCTACCAGAAAACCGTCCATCAGTTTTTCAAA